CTCAGCCATAAAGAGCGAGAGAATAGATTCATTCATAGGAAAATGGATACATATTGAAGATATACTCCTAAGTGAAATAAATAAGTCACACATGTGTAAATACTGAATAGTTTCCCTGGTGTAAATAATCTGCAACAATGCATAAGATTCTAATATGATTACTGACATTTAGAAATGGGAACAAAGGAGCTAAAGGAAGGTGGGATGGGTAGGGGAAGAGTAAAAAGGGAAAAGGAAAAATGTGAGAGAATGAAAAGATGAAAATCAAGTGTTTGTAGATGGGGAGGGGAGCAGGGGGTGAAGGGAGGGCAGAGGTAAGGGGAAAAAAATGAGAATCAAGACTTGTCATGTAGAGGTACAAGATCCCAACAATGAATGTAACTGTACTGTATGCCTAAAATGTACCAATAAACTCAATTAAAGCTGGAAAAAAACAAAGAAAATGCAGAAAAAAGAGGTGAAAGGATGAGTTCAATTTTGGAAAAATTTAAACTGAAACAGCTATGGAACATCTAAAAGAAGAATGAACAGGCAGTTGGATATATGAGCCTAGAGCTCAAGGCAGTGGTATGGATGGGAGAGGTGGGTTTGGAAATTGCCACAATACATAGGGAAACACAAGGAGTGGGGGGAGACCAGGAAGTAGGGGAGAATATGAAAATGGGTAGTGTAAAAAAGAAAAGAAAAAGTCATGGAATCCAAAGAGAAGAAACATTTAAAAAGCAGTCAAAAGCGACAAGTGCTTCAGAGAAGTAAAGTAACATGATGGCCTGAAAAGTCCATTTTATTTTAAAACTAGGCAGCTATTTGTGACCTTAGTAAGTTCCATTTCAGTACCAGCAAAACACACATGAAAACACTCTGCAAAGTGTATGAGGGATATGTAATGGGAGACAGTAATATAGAATACTCTTTAAGGAAACGTGCTTCTAAAAACAATATAGCAGAAGTGGACGAGGAGACAGAGTTATTTTATTTTACTTTTTATTTTTCAGGATGCAAGACTTGAACATGTTAATATGTCTAATTCTCTAAACTTTCACTTCCGTACCCACAATGCAGGGAAAATAATGTCCTGTCTGCGTGGTCTTTCAGGTTGTCATAACAAATAAGATGACGTACATGAAAGATTCTAAGGTACTATGTCAAGGCTGATGTCATTATGCATTTACAAATGTTGAAAGAACAGAAGTACAATGTTAAGAATCCAGTGAAATATTGTTAGCTATAAAACAAGTGAAAAATTATAAGCAGTCACTATCTAGAAATAATGAATTAAAAGCACTCTACAAATTGCTGAACCCAAACCTGAGATGCTCACATTTTGAAATCTCATGCTGGACAATTTCTGTGCATAGACTATAGCTTCATTTGGGTTTCCAGATGTCTTCATTACGCCAGGAAAAAAAAAATGCCAATGAACCCAGGCAGATCACTGTTCATTAAGTTATCTGGGAATCTATTAGTCTTATGAGTGGTAGTTCTTTGTGTGTTTGTGTGTGTGTGTGTGTGTGTGTGTGTGGTACTGGGGATCAAACTCAGATCCTTGCGCTTGCGAGGCAGGCACCAGAACCACTGAGCTAAATCCCTAACCCATGAGTAGTAGTTCTTAAATAAAGATTTCTGGCAGCCTCTCAATTTCACAAAGCAGCAGATCTGCTCCACAATTTAAGTCTCATGACCAGTGAAATCATGGTAAATGGCCATGTAATTCCAAGGAGTGACAGAGGTATTCTGGGAAGTTCTAGCCATTTTAGGATTGCCCTGTTGGGAAGAGGAGCCAGCCAAAAGAATTTGGTCCAGTCATTATTTCACTAGTCATGAAACTATTGAGGAGTTTACAAAGAACAGTATTTTTAGCACTGTGCCACCAGAGTAATTAGGTTTACTCTCACAAAACCCCAAACAGTGGTTTTTAATGTACCCCATCTTTCTCCCTCAGGAAGACATCTTAACCCTGTAAAAGAAAAATGTCTCTTTCCTTTTCTCTGAAATTTGTAACACTCTTCTCTGAGTGAGTTTCTTAAATGCTGATGTCTTTCTCACTTATTTTATTGTCTAGGGTGCAGAGTGTTAATTAAGGTGAAGCAGCTGTGTCTTCCAAAAACTTTTCTTTATAACAGGTAATAAAAATTCAGCCTTAAGTCATAAATAAACCCAATCTGCAAATATTTTTGCTTCTTTAAATTTTTAATCCTAAACTAAGCTACAACACTAAGATGATGCTTCTTTTATCTATGTTTTTAAGATAATTTATCCTTAATGTATGACATTACCACATATAGTTGTTAAACTAGGCCAGGTTATGTCATGTGTTTGGCATTTATCTATTTTAATACTAAATTTGTCCTAGGTCTGAAAGTCAACAAAGAAGCTCTTTGCCCTACCACCTACTTGAGAGATTAAGACAAGAGGACCATCTGAGCCCAAAAGTTCAAGACCAGCTTAGAAAACACAGCAAAATCTTGCCTCAAAACATGTTTGCCTCTTATAGAACACAAAGCCAGAAAAATCAATTCTATTTCTGTACACTAATAATGAACCTACCATGAAATAAATTAGAAAAACAATTCTATTCACAACAGCTTCAAAAAAAAAAAAACTGAGAGATCAACCTAAGCAAGAAGGTAAAAGACCTCTATAACAAAAATTACAAAATACTGAAGAAATAAATTGTAGAAGGTGCTAAAAAAGTGGAAGGACACCCTTTATTCATGGATAGGAAGAACTAATATTATGAGAATGGTTTGCAAAAGCAAGGTACAGCTTCAATACAGTGCCTATTAAAATACCACAACATTCTTCACAGAACTAGAAAAACAATTCTGAATTACATGTGGAATCAGAAAAGACCCAAAATGTCTAAAGTAACACAAAGTTAAAAGAACAATGAATGGTAAAAGCATCACAATGTCCAATTTCAAGTAATATTACAAAAGTACAATAACAAAAATGCTGTGGTACTGGTACAAAACCAGAATGGAATAAAATAGAAAACACATGAACAATCCCATGCTACTACAGTCATCTGATTTTTGACAAAGGGGCCAAAGACATATTTTGGAGAAAAGACATCTTTAACAAATAGTGCTGTTAACACCGGATATTCACTGGCAGAAGAGTGAAGCTAGATCTCTCTCACCCTGTACTAACATCAATTCAAAATGAATCAAAGAGCTAGATATAAAAGCAGAAACTTTGAAACTTCTAGAAGATAACATAAGGGAAACACATGAAGCCATAGGCATAGGCAAAGACTTCCTGAGCAGAAATCCAGTAGCACAGGAACTAATATCAAGAATCAACAACTGCAATTGTATCAATAAAAATCTTCTCTACAGTAAAAAAAAAATCAACAGAGTGAAGAAACAACCTACAGAATAAAAGGCAAAATTTGCTACCTACTCTTTTGATAGAAGACAAATATCTAATATGTAGAAAGAATTTTTACAATTCACCCCTAAAAAACAAACGACCTAAGCAAAAAAATGGGCAAATGAACTGAATATACCGTTCTCAAAAGAAGTACAAATGGCCAATAAATATATGAAAAAATGTTCAATATCTTAGAAATTAGGAAAATTCAAACCAAAACTACTCTGAGAGTCCATCATACTGTAATCAGAGAGGTCATCATCAAGAACACAGTAACAATAGTGAGGATGCAGGGCAGGAGGAGGAAAGCTTCCAAATTGTTGGTAGGAATGTAAACTAGTACAAGCACTATGGAAATCAGTATGAATATTGCTCAAAAAAAAAAAAGGAATACCATTTGACCCAGCTATACCTCTCCCAGGTACATTTCTGCAAGCATTAGAGACATCATACTACAGTGTTACGTGCATATCCCTGTTTATAGTGGCACAAATCACAATAGCTAAGCTCTGGATATAGCCTAGAGAGATGACTATCAACAGACAAATTGAAAGAGAAAGTGAGAATATATAACTGTATAAGAGGAATATATATCTGGAGAAAAAGGGACAGAATGTGAGACCATCATACTAAGTTGTAAAAAGCCAGACTCAAAGTTAAAAGTTTTATGGCTTCGCTTTTACAAGAAGCATAAAATATTAATTAATTAATTAAGGAGCAATGATAGAAAACTAGAAGGTTGACTCTTAGAGCCAGAGAAGAGGATTAGGAGGAGGGGAAAGAAAAAAAAGGGAATGAAGGGATCGTAAATGATCAAGATGTGTTGAATACATGTACCAATTCCCGCAAAACGAACATCACTACTCTGTATTACAAACATGCACTCATAAAAAATGAAATAAATAAAAATAATAGATAAAAAATTAACAGTAAAATAAAGCATTACTTCAAACAAGATTACAAAGAAGGCGTGTCTTACGTTGTCCTCATACGATAACACCAAACCTTTACACTGACCTTTACTGATGACCAAGTATCTTTCATAAGTTAACTTTGTATGATCTTAATGTAATGCATTTATTACTCTTTTATATTACTCATCAATAGAAGAGAGTTATGAGGCCCAGAGAAGTCTAAGAAACACTAAAGTTATTCACACAGTTGTTCAGGAGCTTCGCCAAGTCTATACCCTAGTTCTTCTAGCTCCCCAGCTCTTCCCACTACACCATAGATGGTCCCCATCACGTTACCAACTCTGTTTTTATTTCACTTCTGTAGCAACATGGAAAACCGCCTGGTTTCCTCTGAAGTCATTAGGAATCTTTGATGAAACACAGACGTGAACTCAGCTCTCCCTCCAATCAAAATACACAATATATTAGTTACATAAGGAATGTTATGGGATCATTGTGGATGTGGAAAACTTTTTAAAGGAATGCATAAATGATGGCTGGGACACTTAAAGAGCCAAAGAAGATTTTACAAACAAATGACCAAATGTGGAATGGGGGAAAATTCCATAAAATTCAGTATTTTCATTTGAATAGTTTGTTTCTCCTTCACAAGGACTTCTCTTTTACAGAAAAGCCTGGCTTTTGAAAAGATTTCAAACAAACATAACCAACCTGTAGATGGAGAAGGAAGCCACTGATCGGATGAGGGATGCCAAGGCCCCCACCTTGGCAGCTTCCACTGCCCCCTGGACTCGGTACTGCACTGTCGTTGCGTAGCTGATGTAAGGCTGGTTATAAACAACAATCTTTCCTCTTGCTTCTGAGGCCCTTCTCTGCAGTTCGTTGAAAGAACTCACCACCAGAACTTCTGCTGTAATGCCTAGAAATAAAAGTCAGACAAGAATTAATCCATGTTCTCCCATCAGCCAGGTGGAACTGGCACACAAAAGGTCGCACATGCTCTGGCTGCTACATCTGCCAAACTGACTTGAGAAGATCAATGTTTCAGAAGCATTTACCATGGGAGAAGCATTGTGGGGTAAACTAGTTTCCCAACAGGGAGAAAAGGCATTCAAAATAATAAAACATACAACTCCGAGTTTTTTAATTCACTTCACCAAATGGTATTAAATCACAAACTGCCTGAAAAGATAGCTTCTTTATTCTTCTGATTTCCCATCCTAAGAAGTTATGAATTTCACAGAATGACACTAATCATTTATTTCTTAAAAATGCATATCAGAAAGATCCTCTTGGATTAATGAAACAAACACTCATCTTTTCATAATAATAATTCGATACATTGCTATAAAAACCTTCAGTGACACAATACAAAATATTGCAGTTTGTGAAGAATACTATTAGAAGCCATTGTTTTTCATAAATTTGACATTTAATAAATAGTTACTGTAAATTCTTTTGAGAACCATAAATAATCAGCTCGGATTTATTTCCTTCCCTTCTATAAAAATACCTCAAAGGATGTGGAAACTTTGCATGCATCTCAATTTACACAATTTTTCAAATAAAATATCCAAACATGTACAACTGTCCTAAAATCTTAGCAACTTATTTAGATGTACCTGCTTTCTTCATGCCTCAAGACTTGCCCAAAGCCTCAGGATTTCACATCTTCCAAGAATTTATTCAAAACCTGCCTGACCACCAAAGATCCAATTTGATAGAGTAGGATGACAAAGAAAAAATATTTAGCAACAAAGGTCAGATGAAGTGGCTAAATATATCTAGAAGAAACTGGTAAGTGCCTACTCTTTTGTGGCTTTGGCTGTGTACCCACGAAATATATTAGTAAAAACTGAAGTATCAATACATATCTGTCATATTTCTTCAATATTATAAACCAAAGAACTAGATTTTTTTTTTTTACTTGAAAGCTTAACAGATGTCATTAAATTGTAAACTGCTGTACAGAAAATTCTTTTAAAACTGTGTTTCAGGTACCAGAGAATTCTTGTTTTCAATATAAGCCCAATCACCATGTACCCTTTGGACTGGTTCCTCTCCTACTTCTGCTCCACTGTCCAGCCTGGTTTTGTACTTTTACTTTACAAGATCAGCTACAAAGTTATAAGCATGTTTCCGCTAACACTCAGGACGCGGTACTTAATTTATAACCCCCCTCCCTCCAAAAAAAGCATTGTACAGTTACATAAAGTGAGGAAACTACAGTATTTCTGAATGATAAATATGCATTAAATGTGAATAAGGATTAATAACTCTATGAAACCTAGAGTTACCTTGAAGTTTGACTGGCGTTATTGTTGGCATAGTATAGGAATTTTGCTGGTGGTTTTCAGCTGTTCCTAATGAATAACAGGTTCAACGGTCCACCCAAGGGATGGCCTAGCACTGGCGAATCCGGGTGTCTGGAATATAGCCATTAAAAGTGAAGCCAAATTTCTTCCAATTTTCAAATTAAAGTCAATAAGTCATAGAAGGGTGGTACTTCAGTATGGTCTATACTCAGTTATTTTAACACATGAGAGAACGGCCTCTTGAAGAGCCAAAAGCTAACCTAGACAGCGAAGTTGCCAGTGCAAATCACTAGTAGCAACTACTGGTCAAAGTCTACCACCATCAACTTGGAAGAAGACTTTGAATTAGTCCGTTTTCCTGAGGTCTGAGAGTCATCTCTGATTTCTCTGACTCCTTCATTTTCTCCATCTAGGATCCTCAAACATTAATAACTTTTCCCTTAGACATCAATGTGGATTGGACTCACATCCTCTGTTCCATCCCATTGCTCTCTCTCACATCAGGTCCTCATGACTTCTCTTTTGGACTCTTGCAAGTCTCTCCACCTTCACCTTCTCACCACCACTACAGTCCCAGCCTCCAGCCCAGCTCCTCCGATTACCTCCACGCCGCTGCCTGAGTGGACTACAAACTACTAAAAAGTCAGTTCTGGTAATGGCACTGCCCCTCTGCTTCATTTTTAGCCCTACCAAAAATCCATCTTTCAACCTACTATTCAAAGCCTGTCCACCTTTGCAAACACCGGCTCCCTTTCATTCTTTTTTTTTTTTTTTTTTTTTTTTTTTTTTTTTTTGTTTTTGAGACAGGGTTCTTGCTTTGTAGTACAGGCTGGCCCTGAACTACGTAGTCCAGGTTGGCCTTGAACTCACTGTGATCCTCCTTCCTCAACCTCCTGAGTGCTGGGATTACAGGCGTGCGCCATCACGCCCAGCTGCCCTTTCTTAAACTTCATCAATACTAAATTTAAAAGTGCCCACTCTCGTTCCATGCCATTCACTCAAAGGTGTCTGTTCACCTTTGGTACACCGTGTCCTATAGACTTCATTGTGCCAACTTCTTTTTGTTACTAAGAACTATTTACCCCGCAGGAATCCATTCAAGAATCACTGCATTCCCTGGCCCTCACTATCAGGAGTGAGAAGGCTGGATCATATACAACCCTCATCCAAACTTTCAGAGTAAACTGGATATAGCTGGCCACTGAAATAATGAATCTTTACTTATGGTTCTCTCTTCTGGCCAAATTGTGATTCCCCTCTGGATTTGTGGCCATGTTTATTTTTGTATCTCTAGGGACCGTCACAGTGCTTGGCTTGTGTGTTGGCAGCAAGTCCTTAAACATACCTTGAACAGCACTGCTCTAAATTAGAGATCACTGACTGGATCTAAAGCATACCCATGAATGTGCAATTTTGCCATTAAAGTTTGATAACCCTTATCCCACAGTAACTCAGCACTCTGATTTTCTTATCAGCAAGGTAACAGCTTCAAAACAATAAGCAAGCCAAAGAGGCACTGGGCAGTTAGAGTCCAGGTATAAATTCCAAGTATGAAAGCCCATGTGCTCAAACAAAAGGAAGCTCTTTGGCTATCTATCTCTCAGAGCCTACTTACTCTTACTTTACCCAGAATTCAACATCTGGTCTTTAAACCGGTAAGCTATGAAAATCAACACATCAAAAGGAGAAGATAGAACTAAAAAGTGACAGCAGAACTGTAAAAAACAATGTCAGGGTCAGAAATATGCAAACTAACAAATGCTACTCAAACTTTCCATGGGGGACCTATTCTATATATGAACTGTCTGACACAGGAGCTAGAAATATGACTAGTGCTGAGAATGAGAAACCAAATTTCTAATGCCACTGACTTTTAGTTGATGCGTCTCTACATGTAGATAGCCACATGTGGGTAGAATGCAGAGTCAGTACAGGCTCAGGCCACCGCACAGGGAAGATAGCTGAGAACTTCTCTACTGGCCCTGAAGGACCTGCTTCATGACAGTCCCAAAACAGACCTGAGTCACAGTGATGACCTCCTCCAGTGGCCACAGACCAGATGGGCTGCACTCAGCAGCCATCATCTGGGAAGGCAGGGTGCAAACAAAACATCACAGGAAGATGCTTGCTCCAGCTGAATAAAAAAAAAAACTAGGCCATCCGGAAAACTTCACCCTTCTATATGAGGTCGTGTTTCAGCACACATTGTACTACAGCAAATACGCTTTCCTACAAATCAGCACACCCACTCCTCTCTTCTGCTCTAGTCTCATCTCCCTTCTTCTTAATCTTGCGTTGCAAAAGGTAGTTCATGAAAACGACTGAGAACACAAAATTTGTGATATGTTCACAATAAGGCCCACCCTGAAATTCCTATTCCTAATTGCAACCCACTCCAGACCTCTACCCCTCTTAGCTTAACTTTCTCATAATTTTCCTAATGTCTAGCAACATCCAGTCACACCCACTCCAGTAATGTAAGCTACGTGGGGGATAGAAATTTTCATTATTCATTAACGTCCCTAACCACCTGAAATGATGCTGAACACGTGTAAATGAAATATACGCACACATGAGAACGCACATGTATGTGCACACACTCACACATGTAATGAACAAAGACAACAACAAGGAGCCCCATCCTTATCACCCTCCAATTCCAAGACTCGCATATTTGTATAGTTTCAAATAATCGATGACATTATGAGCTGTATCTCAATGTCTATTGTTTATTCTGACATTAACAGCAACTCTGAAAACTGGTTCTTATGAGGATTCTGAGATGCCAAGAATGAGGCTTACAAAAGTACTAGGTGTTGAAGCTGAGATTCAAATGACTGCCTGCTTCTACCCAAGGGTCATGCTCTTCTCATGAATTGTATTACTGTTCTCTCGTAAATGTAAAATGTATCCAGAAAGCTCAGTATTTTCTTTTAAGAGGAATAAAAAGGGAAAAAGAAAAGCTACATAAATGCCTACCTAAACTGTCAGTTATCAGTTATTTCTAGGATTCTGCTCGTGATTCAGGATACTGTTATCACTCTAGGTCCAAACCCTTTTTTTTTTTGAGACAGGGTCTCACTATGTAGTTGAGACTGACCTGGAACTCACTATGTAGCCCAGGCTGGTCTTGAACTAGGTCCAAGCCTATTAACAGAGACCCTCGGGGTAGGCCGTGCCTTGCTTTAGAGACAAGACAGCAGACTTTGTTAAAGGGAGGAAAGAATTATAGTGGTTAATTTCGGGGTAGAATGTGGTAGCAGCTAAAAGTACTCATCAAGTGACTGTTTTGGCTACAGCCTACTGTGTCACAAAAAGTTTAAGAATGCTCAGGTTCCTCTTAATTTTCTACACCTAATTTCCAAAACTGATCAACTCATCTTTAAGGCACTCAGGCTGACGGTGATGGCAGCTGGAGTTCCCCTGCAGACACAAATGCTGGCCGCTGTGGTACCAGCTTAGGTCATCCATTCCATGGGGGCTTAACAAAGACTCACTCTCCATCTCTCCTGATTTGACTCCTCCCAAGAACCAATAAGAAGATCATGAAGGGAGAGAATTTTATAATGATTTTTACCATGAAGAGTAAAAGACTACAGGCAGA